GTGCCCGGTGTAGTGGTCTATCTCACTTTCACACTCATGTATGGGGGCATCATCACTCATTCCTTCAGTACTTGTAAACTGCACCTTAAGCAGTCTGGCAAAGTCCCCCAACCAGTGTTGACGGTAAATTATCCCTGAAAAGCCCTGTGGGGAGTGGATAATAAGATATTTACAATTACAATTACAATTGGTACTTTTACTTTCTAAAATAGCAACAGTAACAAAAGATTTCAGGTTAAAAATAGAATTTGTATTTAGTTTTTATTTAACTCTAAGTGATTTCTGTTTATATTTCCATTGTATTCTTTCGTCTTCAATGGTTGTAAAAATCATATATAAGTAAGTTGCTTTGAACTGATTTTTCGATTACATCGCCGACTTCCTGATTTGTGAGCTACGTTACGCTACGTGTACAAGAATAAACACTGTTGGAACCAAGTTTAGTTCTGTTTTATCTACTGCTGTAACAGTTAGTGGTCAGATCGCGGACCTAAATAGAAGTGGCGGGCTCTTCCCCGCAAGCGAGTTGCCATTTGAGCCTAGCTTTCCTCAGTTTTATCGTGAGTCAAGCACTGAGTTCCCGTTGAGCCTTAAATTCGTTTCAAAGCAGAAAAACCTTCCATCACAAAAAATACTCTAACTGGAAAACGAAAAAAGAAATAAAAATTCGCAGACATAGTTTTTTAGAAAAACTATCTGACAGTAAGTTGGACAAATTTCAGCCAAATTGGTTCACGGGTTGCCGACTTGGAGTTTAAAACGTACCCTCAACTTGTCCTGATTTTCATGTCGAGAAAACAGTGGAAAAAGAGTTTTGGCGGTGTATTACCCGTGATGGGCTTATAACAGATTATAATACCAAAGCTGTCAATGTTGATGCATACCAGAGAAGGGACAACAATAGTGACACAGCAGGAAAAGTTGAAAACGAAACCCGACAACAGATCAACAATTTATTTCAAAGGCTCTGCTCTGTTCGATCCCTTCTGTTGTCGAGAAAGCTTTCGTTAGTTATTTGCAACGGGCAGTTTTCATTTCCGCACCGGGAAAGCCAAGTTTAACCAAGCCCACTTTTACGCGATACATTTTTTAAAAGTTCGACACTTCCTTGGAAAAATCGACAACAAACCACTTCTTGGAGTTTTTCTTGAAGCTTCTCTCCCGCTACAATAGACTTTCAAAACAGTACTTCGTCCGATTTTTATATGGCGCTGGACCTCTCGTGACTTCGTCTCTTGCTTGGCTGCTTCGCGGCCTAAAAAGCTCGCTCCGCTCGCTAACGAACTCGTGAAACTCGATTCCGTGGTAGTTTCAATGGGTTTTTCAGGAGCTTTGTCATCTTTTAGCCATTTTTCTTGATTGTAGTAGGAGCCCTTGTCGCTCTTTGCTAATTTCGAAGCCCCCTCTTTGGCGGCAAAACCATTTTGTCGTCTTCTTTTGTCTTGGAGTCGAGGACGAAAACGGACAAGATCTTTTTTCTTTTTTGGAGGTATTCACTTTCAAACTCCAGGGAAAAACAGTGAGCACTATACTTGTAAACCACGATTTCTGTCAAATTGCGTGATTAGCTTGGTTCAACAGCGGCACGCATATCAAGTATGACAGGACTTGTCAACGATCAATTAAAATAATTAGCATAGAAAAAACTTTTGTACTCCATAAGTCTGTACAGAAAAAAAAAAAAATCCTGGAATTTTTTTTTTTAAAGAAAGCTCTTGATGAGCTCTATTTAATCGTCTAAAAATTGCAAATTAGAAAAATGACGATTTTTTTACCCTGGATGATACCTTAAATAGAGGTGTAATTCCTGGGACGTCCGCACATTTTAATCGATTGCTTTAAAGGTCACCAAGTCCACTCGCGACGACCTCAAGGGAAGCAATGCAGAATATTGTAATGGCGACACAACAAGAGGGCACAATGTTCCTTTATTCTCTCTTGACAGCACTGAATATTACTTTGCGAACCTCTCTGGATTGATTTCAAGTGTTTTATTGGTCTGGAAATAACTTTGGTGGAATTAAGATATCCTAAGGGCTAGCCTAGGAGTCCCCCCTCTGTCTAATTACTCTCTCTGGTCATACCCCGACACTATGCCGGGAGAGAGGGGCAGGGATGGGGGACTGGACTTCTTTGTCGCCGTCTTGGTTTGTACTTAGTGAAACTCCACATTCGATGAAGCTGAACCTCCATTAAGCGGCTACTCTCGGGATAACAGCAAGTGGCCCCTTAATGGACGTTGCCTACTCAATAGAGGTTTGTCGTGAGTTAACATAATTTTAAGCAGAAACATCTTGGACTGTATTTTTCCTTCAGCGTATTTTTGTAATTAAGCCAAACTAAGCGTATCAAGTGCTTGATGGCCGCTTAATAAAGACGACAACAATACAACAATAAGAAGACTCTAATCGGAATGGCAAAATGATGGCCGTGGCCGCTTAATAGAGGCATTATTATTATTGTGGCAATACAAACGTCTCGATGCCCAGAGTAAAAAATAAAAAGTTTGGCTGGGCGGCAAACCGTAACCGGTCGCAGCATCGACTGAAATTTGTAGTAACAATTACACAATAATTTATGGAAAAAAAGTAGAAAATAAAAAAAAAAAAACCTGGGTACAAACTACAAGCTCTTTATATTTTGCTTAGCCTCTTTCGAACAGCCCCCAAGGACATCCATGATTATGTTATGCTGATTGACCTTGTACTCAGGATATCGGTTCGTCAGCTCTAGTCTCAGTTGGCTGTACTTCGTTGTCTTCTCGAAATCTTTAGACTCTCTATTTTGCAGACAGCCCATTTCAATAACTCTGACTTGCTTGCTGGTCTCGTCAATGATCGTGGCATCGATTCTATTAGCTTTTGCTTAAGTTGTGTCAGCTAATAATGGGACGTCCCAGAAGGCGGTTGCATGCTCATTCTCATACAGCGGCTTGGGTGTGACTTGTGAGAACCACGGTTCAAGTTTAGTAATGAGATCTAAAGATCTAAGGACTTCAAAGAATAAGATCTTGAAAGCATTGTTATGTCTCTGTTGGTACTTAGTCTGTGTCAGTCCACTACAGCCAGATATAATGTGCTGCACATTCTCCAGGGAATCCCCGCATACGCGGCATTTTTCATCAGTGACTTGTGATTTTGTTTTTCTGTTGTAGTAAACCTTGGTAAGTAACAGTTGTTGGTAAAGCTCTTGTACTTCAGCGATGGTATGCGTTTGGGCATTCTTCCATGAAGAAAGCCACGCAATACACTACTCCAGTTTAACTTTCTCGTGGTCCCATCTGTTCTGGATAAGCTTTCCTTGCCATCTCTCCTTAGATACCGTTGATTGTATCTCCTGCTGGCGGGCTTTGAAGATTGCCTGCTGTATCTTCTTAGCTTCGACTTCCTTACCATCGGCGACGGCAACTGGGTTAGGGAATTTTAGCCACAACTGAAGATCCAGCTCCTCTGCTGCGTACTTCTTAGCATCTTTCATGATGGAGTGGCGTCCATTCTGCACGGTTAGCTCTTCAAACGATCTTACGGCTGCCATGGTAGCGTCAGCGTTGCAATAAAGCTTTACTGCTGATTTGATCTTACTGTTCTTGTATTCATTCTCCACGGACTTGAGACCTCTTCCACCGAGCTTCCTAGACATGTTGAGTATCGCTGTCGATCCCTTGGGGAGATTTCCTCCATTCTCCACAATGATCTTTCTTCCCTCTCGGTCAAGCTGTTGGATGTTTGCTATCGGCCAAGTTTGTGTCCACACCAAGTATGTAAGTACTGGTAAAGTGTACTGATTAGACGCCACTACCTTTCCATGATCTGACAATGGGCTGGACCAGATGATTGATAGCCTCTGTAAGTATGCCTTTGCTGCCGCTTCCAGTACTTGCTTATCCTCTTGCTTGGTGTTTTCGAAGACGCCTAGGAACTTATAGGTGTTGTGTTGGTCCAGGCTCTTGATAGGTTTAAGATCAGCTATCTTCATATCTCCACTCCCTTGCTCGACTTGTCCCCTCTTCACGTGTATCACTGCACACTTCTTCTCATCCCCCTTCAAACCGGTGCTTTCCATTCCATTCTTTGCGACTGTCACGACTCGTTTCAGCTTGTTATTATTATTATGTCGCAGTATGAAACTTTGGAATGCTGTCCACATTACGAGTAGCATAGGGCGCATAGCGTAACCCACACCACTTGAGAAGCTATACATAGAAGTAAAAAAAGGTCGATACGAAACCTAATACAATCCTAAAATACATAGTGATATGAATCTCTCTACTTAAAAAGCCAATTTAGAATATTATTAAATTCCGATACTCTGTAAAACCTTCACTATCTCTACTGAAAACATATTTATAATAATATCACACTCTAATGTTCTAAAAAATCTAAGTAAAAACGTCAGCAAGCTTGTGTTTCTAGATTTCTAGAGAAAAAACAAAAACCTAAAAACTGAAGTCCATAGCGCCCTAACTAAGTATTTATCTTAAATGTTCTGGCAATGTTTAAAGTGTTTGAGATGACCGACTTCTGCATTCGCTCAAGTACGCTCCGTGCTCTCGCTCCAAGTAGCTTCCTCACCGACTTCTCTAGGTGTTTAGAGTAACCCCCCAGTACGTCAATTATTACGTTGTACTGTTCAACCCTGTAACCATTGTATCTCTGCTTCAGCTCCCACATCATGGGCCCATACTTGAGTGTCTTTTCCTCATCTTTCTTAGCTCTACTCTCAATCCATGGGCAGCTCATTTCAACTGTGCAGACTTCTTTCCTCTCGTGGCTGACAAGTCGCGCGTCGATCCGATTTGCTCTAACTTCGTTGTGCTCTGCATAGATGGGAATATCCCAAAACGCCTCACTCGTGGTGTTCTGGTAGGCTGGTTTTGGCATCACCGGTGAGTACCATGGTGGAACCTCTTCTATTAACCCATGCTCTCGCAGGAGCTCAAAAAACAGAATCTTCAAAGCTGCATTATGCCTGTATAGGTACTTGGTTTGTGCCAGGGAGGA